TACAATTTCTAGGAAACAAATACAGTAAAACTCCACACAGAAGTGCTCTTTGCCTGAAAATGCTATTGCTAAACAAACATAAGTGTTAAGGATAATCTTCCAGCAAGCAGAGACTTTAAAATGGAAAAAAAAAAACATTTACGTTTTGGACAACTTAAATGAAGACTGAGCAGAACAGATTTACTAACCCTAACAATGACTTAGACATGCCACTTGCTACTCTTGAACCTAACACGGATGGTCCTTGGTGCTCCTGATTAAAGGAAAAAAATATTCCATCAAAATAAGCAGAAATAGGTATTCTGTGAGTATTAAGTTTACTCAGGTTAAATAAGGCCATCCACTTCGCAATCTACAGCCTAGTCACAAAAAGAAAGACGTTTTCCACTTCTTATTTCACGATTTCATTTCAGCAATATTTCAGTAGGTCCCAAACCTTCTTTATTCTTTTTTTTTTTTTTGACATTTTCTTACATCTAAGAGTGCAAGATGTTTTATGGACAAAAAAGTGAGTGTAAACCTGTCCCTCTAAAGAACAGATGGTATTTTAATACCCCTCAGTTAACCAGAGCATTTAAATACACAACTAAATATAAACAGAAAACAAGCACTTGATTTCATAGAATCATACACAAGTTTGGGTTGGAAGTGACATTAAAGATCATCTAATTCACACCCCCTGCCACAGGTAGGGATACCTTCCACCAGACCAGGCTGCTCAAAGCCTCATCCAAGCCTGGCCTTGAACACTTCCAGGGATGGGCATCCACAGCTTGTCTGAGTAAATTACTTATGGAGAAATGGTATCTTCCCTTTACTACTTCTTTTACTTCTATTAAGAAAACAAACATAACCCATCTATTTTTATAGAAGATTTTAAGTTCAGGATTTCTCTTTTGTAAATTACTTCTCTATCAACCACCATTCAGCAAACCTGCATGACTGTAACACACAGAAACTGTAACACATCAGAGACCTCATTAGAAAATTACCAGCTTAAAGTACTGATGTGAGAATATTGAAAATACATAGTTCCAAGTGTGAATCACTTATCTTTGTTCTCGGTTGAAACCTCCAGAAGTTGATGTTTTTTACAAAAAGTTCCAAATGATACCAAACATTCAAATGTGAATATTCTTCTATACCCATAGTCTGCACAGTATTAGAGTAGTTTCTACACAAAAAGTGTAAGAATTTAAATGATTCTAAAGTAAAAATATAATTTTCTATTTATAGAAAAGAGATATAAATTTACTTGTATACCCCAACCCCCCCAGAATTAACAAAAACGTGTATTCAATACCACATTAAAGATGCTACAAAGAGACATAAAAGAGTACTTCTGTCACAGCCGTACTGGGCAATGACATATCACTGCAAACATCAAGAGCCCCTGGTTTCTCTGAGGACAAGACCGACCAGACCCACTACTTCAACTGACGGATTATTTTTTTGCCATAGAGAGTACTTCCAAATGGCTGCTCAGGACAGGTCTCTTCATCTGAGAGGCAAGACCCACTCACCAACTGCAGCATGCCCACCCTTCTCCAGCATTCCGTCCAACAGAGCTATTTCAACTATAGCAAGCTGACAACTTTGTACACTGGATAAGCCTCATAACAGGTCAAAGAACCACAAGAGACAGGATGTGAAACCGCTGCTCTAAGAACACTCTCTGGCATGAAAGACAGCAAGTTAAGAGCACACTGCTATCTGGAAGAGCCCCAAAGATCTCTGAACCCACTCATTAATGGTCTGTTGGCTTCCACAGCAGTTCACTTATCCTCAAGACTGCTGAGAAAAACATAATTTACTGAAAGCAAATAAATTCTTTCTTTGGAAAAGGTTTTCTTCTGCTAGCTTACTAAAATAAGTTAAACCTACATTTTATTTTTTCAAAGGATACGAGAAATTCTAGATATTCCCACTTGTTTTATAAATCCAAATAAACATATTATGAGTTTAACAGTCTGGACTCTTAAGCAGCTGATACCTTCAAATCGATAAACCCTGCCGAGGGCCAAAATGTAAAGCTACTTATGACCTACTGTCACATTCAGAGGGAATTCCACTGCGTCATACATGCTGTTTTTCCACTTGCACAGACACTTTGTGCCCTGTCCTTCATGTACGTGTTTTGGAAAGAATGACCTTGGTAACAGTTCTTTTTTGTTCCCCCAGAGAGCAATTCTCTATCACCTCTCTAAACTGAATGTTCATTGTTGTAGCATTCAAAAGTGGAGATAATGTTATTTTGCAACAAGCTGATTTAACTGGAAAGAAACAGAAGCACCTCTCAGCAAAACCTGGTATCTGGCCCTCTCAGGTCCTAGAGAATAAACTCACAATCATTCTGAGGTGAAGCTGCTGCTTTGATCTAGCCTTTATTACCCTCCACAGCTTCTCTTATCTGAGCTCTCACCATCCAGTCACATTTTCTAGCTCCACAATGCAATTCAGTCAAGCACGAAATCCATCGTAACAACGTAATGTCGTTAGTGGACTATCAACAGCTAAGGAAGTGCATCTGACACCGCGACAGAAGTTCAGGCACACGCTAACACCAGAGCAGGGACTTCCTCTTCCTTAAGGCACAAACACAGTCTTTTCTGCTACTCTTGTTTAAAGCTTTATAACCTTGGGAAGCCTCTTCAGCATCCTGGCAAGTGTTGTGAAATTCTAATAGTGGGAACTGAAGTTTGAAACTGTAGAAGTTGTAACATTCTTGTGGTATTTATGGAAAGTGAGTGTATATATAGACTACTTACTTTCATGCTACTATTCAGAGCTTTCAAGGTTAACATTGATAAGGCTACGAAATGATATCTGAGACTACATGTATATGCATTTGTGTGGTTTTGTGTATATATATACATATATATATATGTAAGAACAGAAAAGTCAAAATTCCAATTCCAACCAAACACAAGGGTTTAGTTAAACGAGACAATGCCTTTAGATAACAATAGCCCTCTCTGCTTTCTCTTCATTACCACTGTTAATAACAGCTCGTAACAAGGTACAAAGATGGTGTCTGAATGAAATCCACCAAGATGGATTCACCAACTACTGGAGTGGTGGGAACTCAGATGGCCATTTCCAAGAATCCACAGTTTGCAACAGTCCAGGTTTTTCAGGCAACTGCAGGCCAAGCAATCAAAGCTTCAGGTTGTTAATTTCACCAGTGTGAGCAACTGTTGGCGTACAGAGGCAGGCCAAGGTTGCAGCAAGCAGACTGAAAAGTTGTTAAATATTAAACACAATAATATTTTGATAAATATTACTTTGTATAAGCACAAAAGATGTCTATAGCACAAGCCAGGTGCCATCTTTCTTCATCCAGTGTTTAATGGTTTTAATTCTCTGAAGCTGGAAAATCCAGCACCACTAGATAAAAAACTACATTCAGAATTACGCCAAAGCAACAAAAGCCAAGACACAAAGCACTTCCTTTGGAACTGCTTCCCTGCTGCAATACGTATTTGTAGTTATTGCTTAAGATGACAAACAAAGCTCAAATACTTCAAGAAACACGGCACAATACGTATCCTTTATTTATTTTGGTTTACACTACAATATGAACTACTTGCTTATCAAAGTTCCGCATCATCAGCTTGAACTATGCAGTTCCTCAACATACTCTGAGCAGAGCAAAAGTGCTGATGAAACATACCCGCGTCTATCCCAAGTAAAGCAGTAACCTTAAAAACGCTAACTATGCATTAAAAGAACATGACTATGACCTCTTTGACAGCCTACTTTTTAAACCGAGGTAAGTTGCTATGTGTTAGTCCCTTGTGGAAGACAGTGAAACATGCCAGCCCCTGCATCATTTCACTATTTTTCAAAGTACAATTTCTCAGCATAAAGTTAAGGCTGCAAAACAAGCAGCAGCTAAAGCTGCTCTTACGGCTCAGCTGGAGGTGTGCATTTTGCACTCACTAAGCTACAGGGCCGGGTACAACAGTGCCTGCCACCTAAGCGAAGCCGGAACCTGGCAAGGGTTTCACACAGGCTCGGGGCAGTCCCTCCCTCACGGCCTCTCACGCTGCGCCGCGGCGGGCGCCTCGGCTCCAGCGGCTTCCTCTCACACAGCCCCCTCCCTACAAGCGCACGGCCGGCGGCACCTCGCACCGGGTACCGACCGACCGGACCTGCCCCACGCCGGGTGCGGTGTTACCACAACACCGCCCTCCCCGCCTCCACCGCCGCGCAGCGCCCAGCTCCCAACGGCCGCGGTTATGTAAGGCGCCCCCGCGCGCACCGCCCACCCTCTCTCTCTCCCTCTTTCCCCCCGCCCCACGCCGGGCCCAGTAGAGGAGGGGCTCTGGGGTAGTGGGGAGGCCGGCCCGGGCACCTGCCGCCCCGGTACACTAAGTATCCCCCTTCGGGCGTAAACAGCAGCAGGCCAGCACAGCGAATACTAGGCCGCGTGATGTTCCCCCCTCACCGCCCCATGTCCATCCTCCACCCCTCGAGGCTTCCCGTGCAGAGCCCCTCTTCGGCCGGGACCCGGGGGTTGGCGGCGGTCGCGAGGCGAGCGCGCTACCTTCCTCGACGGTCTCCATCTTGCCGGGCTGACGCAGCGCCGGCCGAGCGGGTGGTGTGACCGCGGGGGGCGGAGCCGCGCGAGTACGCGGTGCGGGCACCGTAGAGACAGCACCATTGAGCTGATGGGATAGAGCGCCGCTCTCGCTGCGAGCGCCGCCTGGTGGAGTTGGTGGTGCCGGGAGACCCGGGAGAAAGGGGCCGGTGTGAGGCGCTGGGCCGGGCCACGCAGGGCTTCAGGACAGCCCGATGGTCGGTGCTGCGTGGCTGCCCCCCTCCGGCAGCGCCTGGCCCTGCCGCCGCGGGCGGGGCCCTCTGCCAAGGGCGTGGGGAACGGGGCGGTTGGTATCCGTGGAGGCGCCCGCCGCGGCAGGGGGACGCGTTCGTGCCCTGGGCAACGGTTGCACCGGGCGGAGCGCGGGAGTCAGGCACACTACTGCTAACACAGGTTATACATTGCACCTCAAACCAAGGGCAAACACGGCGTGCAACTTGAAGTCGGACAAGCTTTGGGGATGGCGGGTGCTGCAGGGCGCCGGAACTTGTGGCCCTGCGAACAGCCTTCCACCCTTCAGGCGGAATGTGTTACTTGTGAGTGGTCTTCTTCAAACCCCACCTCTCCTTCCTCAGCCTGAGATTTCCAACTGGAAAATAGGACTCTTCAGTAAAACACAACAACCTCTTTTAGCTTAATAATTTATGTTTTCAGGTCTTGCCAGCCTCAGTATCTGAGGCAGCATGCATTAAAACTTTGTACTCTGCCAGGGGCACAGAAAGTTATCAGATGGTCTCTGGCGAGTTGGCAAGAAGCTTATTAAGGAAGAAAATGGAAGTTCGTTCATTAAGGGTAAAGCAAAATTCAATGCTGATGAAGTGCGTGCATGTATGTATTACTTCGTTTTCCATTGTGGCACCTATTTTTACCCATCTAGTTGATCAACGAGTTGTAGCAACTTTCATCTCTCAATGTCCAAACAGTTATTAAATCCTTTGCATTAAGCCTTTGGCCATTGTGTCAGCAGCAGAGTGAATGGTAGTTCAAGTCTGGACTCAGAGTGCAGAGGTGGCACGTGCCCAAGTTACACTTTTATAACTCTTTTTCCCTCAACTTTAAGCATACCACTGCCTTCAGTAGTGTCATTTTCAAGCTGTTGGGATAAATGATACTGGTCTATGCAAGCAAAAACAGATCAGGAAATTGTGAAGGCTTGGGGTAGCTGTATAATTACAGCAAAGTGCTGCAATGAAACGTGGGCTATGATATTACATTCAGCTCTTCCGTGTTCTCCCTCTCAGAAAGGCAAGGCGAGAAAACTCCTACTTAAAACTTTAAAAATCAACTTTAATTTAAAATCAAGCTCGTTTTCATCTTGACAAATTATCTTGGCATGTAAGAAGTGCAAGTGCAGTGCTGAGGATATGAGAAGTTCCAGCATATTCAGTTTGTCTGAATGAGGAAAAAAATGATTAAATAACCCAAGAAATGGAGCACTTCAATTTCCAGGTGGATTTCTAATTCCTACTCTTTATTTCCCAAACATGTAACCATTGTTGGTACTCTGCTGCGGTAAATCAAATGTCATAAAATTCACTTTTAAGAAGCCATGGCAGGATTAATGTATATAATACTCCAATTTCAGTCATTCAGTCAGGCTTTTTTAAAGTAGATGAAACCTTTTGAAATGAGTCGCCGTAAGTTGCCAGTGAATAATTCAATTCCTGCCTGTATCTATCTATTCAGTCATTTAAATTACATAACAGGTCTTACACGTACACCCTCTTCTCAGCATGTAGAGAGAATTAATCCCAAAATTTTGTTCTTAGTGCTTAAGTATGGGCTACACAACAGCTCACCAGTAAGCCATGAGCTGATGGCAGGCCATTATAATTTAAAAAGAAAAGGAAAATTATAAGTTAAATGAAATAAAATCTCTCTCAGCCTTCTTGGTGTTTTTGGTGAATGTATTATTGATCCTCATATATTTGGTGATATGTTAGGTGTTCTTCATCTGAGAAATACACATGGCTTAAGTAGTTCTTAATTTTTGGTACAGAAGATGTTAGGAGATTGTTAATTAGCTCCTGACTGTCATCAAGGTCAAGTGCCAACAGCCACTGAATAAAGATACTGGAACAAAAAATCTCTGCTCCAAACAAGTTACCTGGATACCAGAGGAAATACAGAAGTTCTACAGGTGAAAACTGAAGACAGTAATAGACGTAACCCGAATCACAGAAGGTTGTGGCAAAAGGAAGGGCATATTTAGAGTGGGGGGGAGGAGTAAAAGATTATTTCAAACATGGTTTTATTTTGGTAAAATATTTTGGGTTTGTAATATTTAAATGCTTAGTTTTTTTTTTTCAAAAACTCTCTTAAAAGAACACAAAATATATATTGCAAAATTAAAACTATCCAGCTTTTGTATTATGACATATCCATCTTTTCTTCCATTTTAAAATGACTTCATTAAAATGTTTCACTTATATTTTTAGAGTTATTTTGAATGTTTGGAGCATTGAAAAAGCAAAAGCTAATGCTTTTCAGGGTTGCTTGGGCTTTTTTAGCTTAACAGTTCAAAATACATTTATTTTCTTACCCAGTTGTTTGGCTTTTTTCAGTGCTGTCCTAGTTCTTTTCCTCAGTTGGTTGCCTGACTCACCACAAAAATGGTTCATCTGGTTATGAACAGCAAGTAACAGAGATACGGAAGCCAGTAGACTATCTTAAGAAAACCCAAATGGATGTCAGTTTATATGAAAAGAAAAAGGCAGTATTTGGGGTGAACATGTATCTGATTCTTGAACAACTGATTCACCACTGCTAGGGAGGTCTAGCACTTTCATGGCAGGAGAAAAACTGCTAGAGCAGGCACTCTGGTATATAGCACAAAGTATGGCCTCCAGAAAATTAGCCTGGCATAATCAGAAAGCACAAAGGTTTGTGGACTAGAGAAACATACAGTGAAAGCCACTGGCACCCCAGATCTTCCCCATGCACTGCAGGGCCTTTTAAGGACATGCTTCCTGGTGACTGGGCATTTTGCCACTACATCTGGCAGAGCTGCCCCTAACCAGCAGGTAGCTGTTGTGCAGGTAGATTCCCAGCACAAAGACAGGGAGCAGTCATCTTGAGTGTACTGCATACACAATGATGTTTACTGCTGCACCAGGAGCATGGCCCAGGTGGTTGCACTGATGCTAAATGCTGACGCTGAAGCCTCAGTATTGACCAATGTGTTTTCTTCCCACTGGTGTTTGCTTCTTACTGAGCTAGGCTATGATCAGCAGCTACCTGAGGAATCAGACTTTCTCAATAAAAATGTGACTTGTGATTCCTGTTTTGCACACCTACTATGTGCTGTAAAATATGTAGTAGTACTGCATCAAACATAAATTTAGGGACAGACATAATGACTCTGCACCATCATACACAGCCATGATATAGACTCCAGATCTGCTTATTTTAAATACTATTTCTGAGGAGGTGCTTGGCTATTCACTGGGGTTTGGCCTATGAATTATTGACACTTCAACCAAGAAAAAATCTATGCTCACTGGCATTTTCAGTGAGAGATGAGTTTTTTCTAGAGTTTAAAAAACCTGGTCTGGAATTATATTACAGGAGAAATCACCATTTAATAATTTTGACTAATAAGGAAATCAAGTCTTTTTATATATGTCTAGATTTCAAGCTAGGTAATACTTGAATGATTGGTACATATCTGTTTCCACACAGAAAGAAAGTATTTTCAGAACTTCACAACTCTTCTCAAGGTCTGCAGGTTGTGCATCATCAAATTATACTGCTTAAATGAAGCAGGGACCTTTTCACACGTATTAGATACAGTGGATTTTCTGTTTAAAACATAGGCCCCATCAACTTGGTTGGGACCCCACTGTCATGCTGTGAGTGGAGCCAACGGCTGTTGTTAATCTACTGGGGATTCAAAATGCTGTGGCAACTGTTGCTCAGTGAAGAACTTCTGGGTTTAAATCAGTAAAAAAGGGCTGTATTTGTCTTCCAGGATATTCCATTCCTAATAACTGTAGTATCATTTGAGGCATACAGTTCTTTACCTGAAATGCTTCCATCAACTTCAAGTGAACTTCCTGGATACTTAGATATTTGTGTCATTAGATTAGAATGATTTTATGTGTGTGTGTATATATATATATTTATAGTTCTTGGTAATAGAGAATATGGTGTGAAACATGTTAAGAGACTGCTTCTAAGTCTTTCCGAGGACATGTTTGTTCTCATGTATTTAATAATCTGTGAAAATATCCTTACAGATGTCAGCAGTCAGGGATTATCCTCAGCATTATCAGGAGCAATCTTGTTTTGCCAGCAACCTTTTTGTTGACCTTCCACGTGTTATTGGAGGTTATGACTGCCAACCAAATTAAGTTGAACTCCTCAGGGCAAGGTTCATTTCTACTTAATTTAAAACCATGAACGTTGCCAGAAAGAGAACGTGTCTATTGTGCAGAATGATCCACATAGTTAGTACAGATACTTTTTGTAATGACACCTATGTTACTGCATCTGCTTCTGCTGCACTGACTAGGAAAGAAATACAGAAGGACTGTGATTTCTAATGGCTTATCACTTTCTGTCAAACATTTACAGCAACAGGAAAAAACAGCTGGAGAAAAGTGAGCTATGGTCTAAAGGTCAGAGTTACTACAGGTTGATCAGGGTAAATGACCTCTGCTGTCTGATTTCTGTAGTAACTTTCACTTCACTGTAGCTTGGACACTGAGAATTTGGGCATAAACCCCACCTTTTGCTTGTTCCCTGTAGCAATAATGTATTCGCTGTGCGTGCACTGCCTTCAGTGCAGGGTCTGCAAATACATTGAAGAAACCACTTAGTAGCGTTTTTGATGTCTATAGAGAAGAGCAAAATGCTTGGCTCAGTGCAGTAGATTTTCAGTTGGGTGACCGACATGAAAAATGGTACATATATACTATTCAAAATCTACATTTTCTTGACTCTCCTGTGTGGATCAATTAAACATTCTGTTGCACTATTTTTTTTAATGCAGTTGTGATGGCACATGAGCCTCTGCCAGGGCCTCTGCCTGCTTAAAGGTGATAAAGAAAGAGACATCTCACAAGGATAATGATAACACACAGAAATGGCAGTACATGGTATTTCTCATGGCCTTGTCCTCACATGGGCTGGAGAGTATCTGAACAGCTCAGTGTCCCCATTCAGCTCCTGAGAACAAGCCTGTTTGGAATCTGTCCTTTTCAAAGGAGAACATCCGGTAAAGTCTCTACTTCAGAAGTGAGTGTCTAGTTTATCCTTGCTTTGGAAGGAAGAATCTTCTGAGAGCCTGGTTTTCTGAGTCATTATCAGCTGGGCCCTGAGAACACAAACTGTGGTCACAAACCTTCACATTTTAACCTGAATCCTTAAGTTTGGTTCCCTTCCTCCTCTCCTCTTCTCTCACTGATCTTCTACCAGGAAAAAAAGCAGGGGTCTTCAAATTACCGCTCCTTGAGGGGGAGCCAGTTCCTGATCTTGCTCCTATGGAAGGGCAGGGAGTTCTTCAGAGGCCTGAACCTCGCAGTAGGTTCAAGGAAAAGAAAGGGTCATGGACCACTCTTTTCCTCACTCAACCTCACACCTGATGGGGGCAAGCTGAAGCTGGGCAAAGTTTCTCCTCTGTGCTGGGGTCTTACCATGCAGGAGTGCAGGAAGAACAGCCAGGAGCTGCACAGATGCCAAGTGGGCTGGAAAGAATTATGATGAATAGCATGGCCAAGGTGAGTGTGGAGAGTCAGGAAGGGGGTGTGTATGGGTGACTGAGAGGAGAGGGGCTAGGAGAGAGACTAGAAGTCAAGAAGTGGTAATATGAGGAGGTCCTTGAAAACGGGAAGAAGGCAAGTGTCACAGCCATCTTCGAAGCAAAGAAGGAAAACCCAGGGAACTACAGGTCAGTCAGCCTAATTTCACTGCACAGAAAGAGCATGAAAAGTGTAGTGAAAGAGCCTCCAAGCAACAGAGACCTGGAGAATAGGAAGGACAGGAGTGTGGGCAGATCCAAGAGGGGACACAGCCCGGTGGGTGCCACAAGAGGGCACCTCCGCTCCAGCCCCAGGAAGTGGGCAGAGGCTGAGAAGAGGGTGACAAAGGGGATGGAGCACCTCCGGGGCATACACTGGGCCAGCCGGTCCAGGACCATGGTGGTATGCACCCGGCTGTGGCCATCTGGCAATTTGATGTGCCATGAAATTCCCAGCTGCCGATGTTGGGAAACCAGCTGCTTCGAATGCTGCCACCTGAGTAAGCCTATTACCTGAAGAGCCCCAGGGCATTTCTAGTTGTCTGGAGCCTTCAACATGTGAAACAGCACCCTGCACAGCTGCCCTTCACCTTGCCAGCACTGGTGCAGCCAAATGAGTGACTCTCCAGGAGCTGTGGACCTGCTGTCCTGCCTCAGGACGGCCTCACTTGCTGTATCGTCACTAGAATAACCCCTAGATCACATCCCATGACTGCCAGAACCCCTTGAGCTGGGTCAGTCATTGCCTGTGCTCAGCTGGGGCTGGAGGTGGTTGGAGCATCTAGGTCTCTGCCTCCAGTCAGCTGCAGAAAGTTCCAACTCCTGCCCCTTTTCCCTCTGTTCGGGTGATATGGGAACAACGTGCCATAAGTTTCTAAGCTTGCCTTATTGATGAGGGCATAGATAGGGGTCACTGCCACCATTATGACATTCACTGAAGGTTTGGTTCAAATCAAAGGAAATTCTGTGCAAAATGCTACCTGCTGAAATGTCCTGTTGGTAGCATCAAGCAGTCCAAAGTCAAGAGGAAGGAGAAAGGCTTTGGCTCCCCACCGGGAAGGGGGCAGAGGACAGAGATGGGATGTGGGAGAGCTCTAGCACTGATGCAATGAATGGTCTCATGTTAGGAGCCTGTTGTGTGAACCTGGCCATAAAGGATTTGATCTAATCTGGCAGCATGTCAGCACAGTCCTGCTGAGCAGCATGCGTGTGTGAACTGATGTGTTCTCACCAGCAGCCTTTATCTTGCAGTCTAAGTAGGTCAAGAGAGAGGGGTCCCTAAGCTATCTAGTTTGTCTGGGCAATGGGGATCTGTGAATGTAAGTGAATTGGAATCTGTACATCAAAGAGAGTTTTGTGCCTGGTTTTCTCCTTTAGATTTTATCAGCTGTAGGTGAAAACTGCTTTGAGAATGTATGCTTATGTTAAATATGTTGATGCATTTATGTTAATACATCTTTTATGATTATATCTGAAGTGTTCTTGGACCTACACTATACTTCAGATTGGCTGGTATGTTTTGGATGTAGGATCAATTTCAGATCAGCTATCATGACCAAAAAAGGGTTGAATTTAGATTGTCACTGAAAGACACATGAGAAGAAAGACCCTAAAGAGCTCTTACTGGTTTTGAAAACCCACATTCATAATATGCAGACCAAAAAAAGATTTACTAAAATGTAGTTACAGTTCAATAGTTTTCCATCTATTTTTCCATCACACTTTCCCTGTCTGCTATATTCCAGTTGCTATATTGATCTCTGTCAATTTCTTAAAGGTATTTACTAATGTCCCACTTTAGTATCATATATAATTACAGACTCTTAATAAGATTATTTGCTTATTAATTTTCAGTTATTTAATATGACATTTTAATGAAAGTTGGAAGCTGAAAGATACAAATTTTTACACACCTGGATGTCCATCCTGAATACCTGTTCTGATGAAAATGCCAT